ATCCTTTACGTTGTGATTTATCTAAATGCTGCTCTCATACGTCGACACGTTCTTTTTATCGATTACTACCCCTCTCGCATTAGTCTCTACAGAAATTCCCCAGTTCCCTATCTTGCCAGAATCCTTGTAAACCGAGAGCGCGCTTCCTCAGAATTTCTCAGTAACCTTAAAGGCTAAATATTTTATTTGTATCTTGCCTTCTATTGATGAGATGTGTAAATTTTTGACTGAAATGCGAACATTCTGTTCTCGCAAAAGTCTATACAAATACAAATACAAATGAAACAGGATGTCAGAACACATCCCAATAAACTCAGTAATGAATGGCTCGAAAATTCACTCTTGTTGGTCTCGCTGTTATATATTGGATTTCAGAAGAAAAGATACTATTGTAATACTGCACGATTTATGTCCAAGACGATTTTGCTGTATCTCAACATGGTACATACTACAGCAAATACAATGTTTATGCAGGGCTTTAGCATGGCAACAAAGTAAAGAAAAATACATTAAAAGAGACAAAGCATAAAAGAGAGAGGGGTAAAAGACCGTGTAACCAGGGTAGGGACGGACTAACGTAAGTTTCTTTCTCCTGACACAAGGGGGCCTCCATTGATTAATAGCAATCGCTTCAGCAAACCTTAGCAATCTTGCGACTCGTGACTTGTAGACAATCCAAAATGCTATGCTTCGGTCGATCTCGTGTCGCGTCATCAGCAGGTGTCGAACAATTGCTGAGGACGGCGACTTGTAGTTTCGACCGTCATTTCTATGCAGCGGACTTAATTTCAATTGGGTCAGCTGATTTTGGACCCAATTTGGAATATGTTCCACCACCCGATTGCCTAATTGTCGCTCTGTTCGGCCCACGTAGGTGGCTCCGCAACCACATTAGAATTGGTAGATTAGATTACAATTGGCATACAGAGGCACACGTTCTTTTGCCGGTGGTGAGGATATACTGGTTGTCCGATAGACGATTTGGAGGTCGGCTGCGTAGTAGGTTCGAGCGATTGCTGATCTCAGTCGCTTGTAGAGCGGGTGACTTACTTCATCACCTTTGAATTAAAGGTGTCATGTGACCCGCAACTTGGGAACTGGAGCAATTGGTTCTTTCGCGAACTCTCGGTTTGGCATGCTTATTAACCAACGCTTTGGAATAAACGTTTTTGCTAACACATCCCGAGGATTTCGCAGTTTTTGTCCAATTCTGTCTTCCGTGCAGATTCGCCTTGTTCTGTCAAATAAGGTCCCAAGAAGACCACGTTTATATCCCAGGGGCATAACGCTCTCGAAGTATGCGACTTTTATTCAACCATAAACAGTCATTCCTGATGTTCAGGAAACAGAAGGCTAGGCAGTTGTTACGGTTTTCTCAGTCCGTGGCAATTAGAAGTCACAATGCCGACCGTTGAAAAGAGTAAGACATTGTGGCTAACGTGTAGTTGCCATGACTGGGCTGCCACGGCGACTCCATTCAATAAGGATGTTCTCCCAATCCTTCCGTCTGTTCAGCTCATATGTGACCGGTAACGTCTGACCTTGATATCGATTTTGGCTATTCGAATGTCCCCGGAGCTGAACAACTTGTCCGTCGTTGTGCTAATCGCAATCTGGAATGAACGTTTGTAAGCAGCTGTGAACATATGGTGAGAAGAGTTTGAATTCAACCGGTTCTGAGATAATGCTTACATTTACTCTTATAAAGGGTGCTGAATTTGTGAAAGCTATTGGTATTAACTCATTTATCATCTGAAAATCATATCCGAACTCCTTTTTCACCAAGGGAACTACCTATTGTTACACGCTGGAACTAAATACACTAAAAAACAAAATCTCAACTCATGATTCGGTCGTCAAATGTCAAATCACCCCCACTCCACCTACACCGCAAGTTGTCATTAAGCGTAGGATCTTTCCTTTTATTACATGTAAAAAAATGGCCTGAAAACAGTACGAACAATCTGATTGCATTGTGGTCAATACCTGTATTTTAATCATAACCAACAGGATAAAAGTGAACTAGGGAAACACTAGTCCACATATGCCTACATAAAACTTCGTGATTGGGAACAGTGACGCGCTGAACTGAGGACACAAATCTGGGAACCGTCACTGTACATGGATGGACAGATCGTAAAAACAGTCATCAAACTGAAGTAACAAGCTCAGGAGGAGGTGGACGAGGAAATTATCTTTTAATGATTGATGAATCGATAGAATTCAAAGAAGATAATAACCACAATCATTCCCTGGTTTCCTTTTACAATTAATCAATGAGTTCTATACGTTCGACTATGTAACTGTGCAATGAACCTTTGACAACGGATTTTATATCCAATTTTTCTCTTCAAATATGGGTGTATACGTTTGTGTGTGTGTGTGTATCAAATGACTTGGTTCGATTCAAATTTCAAATTTCGTTCTGTGCAAAGGATATCGTGATTACCTAGTACATTAGAGCAACGCCAAATTCCATTCGATTATGCTTGATAAATCGCATCCTGCACACAGCGGGCACTAAGGGATGAGATGAAAAGCCGGGGAGCAGTGAACAGCTGTTTCGGATTTCCGGTCAAATGCCCCTCCGGGAAGAGAGAGTGAACAAATTTGGTTCTCGTTTTCCGATCACGAGAAAAAAAAAATTTACTTTTGACAACACCACCGTATCCACATATTCATCTCATTCGATAGACAATAAATCTCATGATACAGGAAATTTACTTGTTGAAGACGGAACGCAAGAAATTGGAGAGAAAAGAAAAACGATTTTTCCACACAAAAGTGGTCGCAATCAGAAAGACCGTGTATGTGTGTGTGCGTAGTTGTTTTGCACGGCAAACGGCATTTCCTCACAAAATTTAAAACAAAAACAGAAACGGTATCACAACAGATACACACACACACACACTAAACCAGCAATTATCACTGCGGCGGTATTCGTTCGTCACCCTATTGGGAACGGGACCGAGAGGTGTAATTTTATGACTATGAATCGATTAATAGCTTTGTGGGTGTTAATTTGTTGTTGGCGCCGGTTTTAGGGTGCTAAAACACGACAGATGGGCAAACTAGTCAAAAGAGACACTGTCTGCACTCTATCAGCCTCCGCAGTTAAACACATCAGATTATGTATGCATAATACCCACCCACCCNCCCCCCCCCTAGAAAAAAATTTGGGAAAATATTTAGTTTCTGTCTGACAGTGCTTCTTGTCCGTGCTGTTCTAATCCGGGGGCAAACGTAGAAATCAAGCGTGAATCGGAACAAAAGTATTCTTGATTGCTGGTCGGTCGCTGGGTGACGAAAAGGTTTCTCAGCTGCTAATAGATTACACCGATTTGTATGCCACGTTTTTTATCCGCATTGTTTCGTCCCAATAGTGCTATTGTTCTCGGTCAGCCATGGTGAATGACTACCACCATGGTGCACAGGTGTCTGAATGGAGAACATTATGCGGCTTGTTCAACTAACCCATTCACCGTTTCCGGGGGACCCAGTTTCGTCCATTTTGAAGTTATACGTGAAACATTTTCCACCGGTTTTCTTTCTTTCTTTCTCATTTATCTATTTTTTCTCCTTCGTTACTCGAGGCAATCGACTGTGCTAGTGAGATTCATCCGTAGATTGAACAATTTTCTAACGGAAGGTGAATGCACGGAGCCTAATATATTGTCTAGATTCGCTGAGTAAATAAAACCATAATTCACACGAGGAATTCATCATGGAAACAAATCAAATCCTTCATTACTCTGATATAACAGATAGTCAGCCAGGTTGTGAAGTTTCCAACCGAGTCATAACCCTGCGGGCTGGTGCTCAGATGATCAAGGCGCGCAAAGCCCGAAACAAGCTCGTAAAGATGGATTGTGCTATATGGACCATATTCAAATGAAAAAACGGTCTGATCAGCTGCCTGGTGGTCGGGTTGGTTATATGGTGGCACTCCAACTGTGAGATCCCGGGTTCGATCCGCATTTGGATCGATGGCTTCGCAATCTGCGTCTTAATGAGACCCAAGCAGGTCCAAATATCTGTCCAGAGTTTTCCAACTGTTCAGTTCATGCCTCGTTTACATAACGAATTCATCACATAGACAAGTAAAATCCTGTATTATTCTCTTAGTTCTTCGTTTTGTTGTCACTCGCGCTTCTGATCCGTGTAATCGCAGTACATGTGATACCAGACATGCTCACATCAGTACGATTAATCCAATTTTCGATAAAATCTTTACTCGAGTAAACAATATCCTGTACGATTTTTTTTCAATTCACGTCATTCTGTCCTGTCTTGAAAGGAAACATTCGTGCACTCATATTTGGACACCGAGCAGATAACCACCGCGGAGTAGTCGTGTATTTATCTTCTTCCGTAGTAAGTATCACTCTCCATTAGTAATAGTAGTAGTTCTGATATACTACTCACTTGTGAGTAGTAAGCAAAAAGATTCGATCTGCGGTTTCTTTCAACGAACAAAAATGAACAAGATCTGTTGGAGAAAACTGTTGCTGTTTGATTGGGTGAACACAAAAATGTGCATCTGTCAGTGGACCGTAACATTACATATCCTGTGTGTTTGCGAGAATTTCGCAAACTTGTTCCAAATGAAATATTTTGTTGTAGGATTGACAATTTAATCATATCCCGACCGATTGGCAACGAACATCCATCCTCGACTAGCACCGTCTTCGAGGATTATAACAGTAGTTGTCGCAGTAGTTCGGAGCTCGCCGGTTCTCCTCTGGATCGATCACAGTTGAGTAGGAGAACTGATGCCAGTAAATCTGTTTCCACATTTTACACAGAGTTTCATTTGACTGTTGCCTGACAAGCTAGATGCTCGTTTCGGTGATCGTGTATCATCCAACGGATCTTCGTGGGTCGTTGTTAAGTTCGGAATGCGCTTGTTCATTCGAATTCGCAGAGCGATCCCCCAAATATCCTTCGTGGTAAATTCCAGTCTCACACACCCGAACACAAAATCTGTCATCATCGGATATATACTGTGACATGTATGGAAGCTGATTGTGTATCAGTTTGGCACTGTTCCATGGGCCGTGCTGATTATTTTAACTCAATTATGTTGTATGATTCAAAAGCACATTGCTCTGAGATTACGAGGACTTTTGCGTGCCACAGTCTGGTTGGGTAGGGTTATCAGTTTTTCGATAAACAGTATTTTGATCAGTTTTGTTAAATCAATCAAGTTGGTGCCTCACCCGGAGTATCGTACGCTTGCTTTCCGTTCGTATTATTCTTAGGAAAACGATTTGAATGCTAGACAAAAATACTGACTATCAACTGTAACCGCCTTGCTCCTCTCAAAGCAACCCTGTTGTTATCTAGTTTGCAGCACGTGCGTGTTCGTTTCACCTCACTTAAGCTCAATTGTCATTGGTCTAACCATAATGATTGGATTCGTTCAGAGACAGTTAGTTTCTCATGTCATATGCTTTTTCACATGTTCTGACTATCTGCTTAAGAATCGTTCTTCTCGTTGTCAACTGATAACCCAAATATTTAATATTGTTGTTTATTGTTTTATTTTGAAAAAGGAGATTTATCTGAAAGGGATAAATTGTTTAACCTCATCCTGATGGATCTAGATTTGCTTTATTTGACTATTTTATCCTTATACTTTCAATGACTAGATGAATTCAAACTGAAAAACAAAGTTCAAATAAATAATTGCAATCAATTGTTTGACTTTTCAACCGGATATTTCCAGCTATGTGAGTCATTTTAATTGTGTGACAAATTTATCTTCACCAATGTGAGCGCGTTTTGTGCTGCGACTGGGACTGGACTCGATCATGCTGTCTGGTGTCTGCATTCTGCAGTGCCTGTCTGTCACGGAATGACGTATCGCCGAGCAAAAAACACGAGGTACGCTAACCGCGGTATCTCATTGGATCCTATTTTCAGCACTCAGCATTTATAATCGCGTGTGAACATCACATCCACTGCCATGCATGACATGTGAATGCCTTATTATTAGTAATCACACCGTCATTCCTTTATTTAGCTCGTATTGTTATTACTTGTTACAGTTCGCAACACATTGCACAGATGAATTGATTCAACTGATTGGGAATCAGGCCCAATACCTTTGATGGGTCCTATTTTCTAGATTCATCAAATGTGGTCGTGTGGGTAATTGAATGTGGATTTCCCAATACCGGGACCCATTATTTTCATCGAATGCATATTTATACAACCAACGCAAGAAAACTAACTACACCGAAACGAAGACGGAACAGGTGCATGCGGTGAAAATACCTGAAAACAGTGGCTTCTTTTGATGTTTGCATAGGCAGCCAAAAAAGAACACAATTGCATGCACAAACATTCACGACAGGTTTTAAATGAATGTCGACTTATTAATCCTGTGTGAACACAAGCGGTGCTGGTGGTGGTCACATGACAGTGACGGCAACAAGATATCACCTCTGCGGAAGTGAGCTCGCTAGCCAACATCTGCGCGCACAAGCACTTTTACTGTTCCATCTCTTCTTCTTGTCGCTCTCTCAGTGGTTGTTTTGTCGGTTCGGGTATATTTGTGCAAATAAGCGTCAACGCGGTATTGCTCCAACCATTTTCCTTCATTATCCAAGGCTTCGGTGTGAATATAGCAGGTTACAATTATAAGACAATCTGCTTCTGCTCAGGAACTGTCACTGTATCATACGTTATTATAGCAGCCATGTTTATGGTAACGGAGAATATGCACTGCGTTGGAGCGGCGTTGAATAAAGAAAATCTTGAACGCTTAGTCGATTACTGGATTGGGCTCACTGGGAGGATTTGGGACCTCAGGATTGTTATCTTCTCTTCTAATGCTGAAACTTTTCCATTAGCATTTACCTCCGCAGCTAACAGTAGCTTCTCAAACCTATTTTCAATGTCGAATATGCATTTTATAACCGGCACATGCGGCGTGACAGGTCATCTGGCAGGATTGGCATGGCATTCCTGTCTTGACACCTTTCCCGCAGCCCGCTAACCCACAAACACCCAAACCTTGTGTGATTAATTGCATTGACAAAATTCGGCGACCCATTTTCCGATTTACAACTCATGCGTTCGATCATCTCAATGCGAAAGGTTTTCATCTCCTAACGGACTGAAAAATCTTGGTAATTCTGTACTGAACAGCAGTGGTTGTTGCAGTGTCAGTTAATTCCTACCATACGACCACAGGGTTGTGCAATTTTTCTTATGAGATATCCATTGAATGGAAGGGGACAATCTCTGCAACTCTGCAAAGTTTATGAATGTGCAAATTTTGTTTGAGTTAATCACCTTGACAAAAGCGTAACAAATGTATTTGAACAACAGTACAGCATGGTCACTTCGTCCCAGAGGAGTCGTTACGGCGACGGATTCTATCATCAACTCTTCGTTTTTCAACTCCAAATCTAGTGTGGATGGTGATTACAAGTTTTCAAATCTGTTATGACCTTTCACGTGGTTGTGAGGCAGTTAGCTTTATGAACTGTTGTTCGAATAAGTGATGGGAGGTCATTGGTTTGCCGAGGGTGGGACAGTTGAAATCACCCATTAGCAGAACATGTGAATTCTTTTGCGCAAATGTATCACAGTGTTCAAAAGTCATAATGGCTGATTCCGTGGCTAACGGAGGAAGATAGATGACACCAATCAAACAGTTATCGTGTTTGGACAATCTCAGCCGACACCACAAAGTGTCTGGAGTCGAACCTGGGAGATGGATTCGCTCGCAATCAAGATTTTTTCGATAATGGAGTAGAACACCACCACCAAGGGGAGGGCGACTGCAGCTGAGCAGATACATTTCTGTTAAGGACAATTCGGAGTACGGAATATCAGCTGCAAGCCACGTTTCTGTAACAGCAATAATATCCCATTGATCTGATTTGAAACAAATTTCAGCACTGGAAATTCGCTGAGGAGTCCTTGAGCATCGGTGTAGCAACCTTTTGAATATTGCCGGTGTAGAAATCCAATTGGATTAGAAGTGGTCTCTTGGTCGACTCCTTCACCGTCGGCTGCCATTCGTTTTTTAATAGAGAAGCTTTGGTACTTTGGACCACCTGTTGTGGGACAGAATTTGGTAATTGCGTTAAGTGATCCGATGTATTAGTAGAGTTCTCAGGATATGAATGTGTTTGGAGCCCGGGATTTAGTGAGGGTCTCACACGTAGTTCCGGAGACTCTCTGTTATTTCGTTCGCGCCATAATCGCAAGACGGTGTTGGACATGTCCGAAGTGCCAAGAGTACCTTTCATTATACTCGAACAGTTGCCATGGTAATTTGGTGAGCAGGGAAGACAACTGATTGAGGTTGTCAGAAGACCGGGACACTCGAGTACATTTTCAATGAATCCCTATTCTCGTCATTCGTTTGATGGATTTTAGATTCATCTGGATCGTTCCATTGCGGGACATCATGAATGAGGACAAACTACTTATTTTCTCCATCCGTGCCCTGATTGGATAGGACTGATGCTACATTCGTTCCGTCCATAGCCCATGAGGAAAGACTCTCGTTCTTCAGGGATCATTTCTCTGGAGGTAAACAGAAGAAACAATGGCCTAACAGTCCTTTCCAACTTTCAGAGTCACCGGGAGTAGCCTAAGTTCCACGGCAAATGGTGACGTCGGCTGGCGCGAACGTATCTTGAGGCCGACGGGTACAACATTATTGCACATCTGCGTGCACAAAAACCATATAGTGTTCCAGCGCTTCTTCCTGTCACTCTCTTAGTGGTTGTTAGATCAGTGCAGGTATACCTGTGCCAACAAGCGTCAACGCGGTATTGCTCCAAATTTTTTTCTCAATGTCCAAGGCTTCGGTGTCAATATAGAACGATACAATAATATGAAAATCTTCTGCTTAGGAACTGTCACTGTATCGTGAATGGATGATTGTAGATGATTGTTTCCAGTTTCATCAAAACCAGTTGCGTGAAAAGAAGTCTCAGCAGATGCCCCATGGCCAGACAACCCGCTTTTGTCATGAGATTTTGTCGTCAAACTTGAATTACTTGAATTAGACGTGCAAAAATAAAGCAGTGATTTCCAGGTCACCCAACAAGACGTCCAGCTGGCTCTACATTATTCTTTCGCACAGAATTGCACAAGTGTTCAATCGCTTACCGGAGGGGAGAGTTGTGAACAATCGATTCTCTTACTACAAAACAAAGAACGTTTGATCATAACTGTGTTTTGCTATCCCCATTCGGTGAGCTGCACATCCATGAACTCGATTGAAACGGTACTCTGTCAGTGTACAATTCTGATAATCCGTAAATTAGAAAGACTGTTCCCGTTCGTCCATCAGTTTCAAACGCTTGCCGCTTCGCACCGCTCGAGGTAAACTTGAACCCAATTCGTTGGATCAGGGGCTAACGCAGAGCAGATCTACAGTGAGGGCAAACTACAACTTTTACACTTCAAATGGATCCGTCCATCACCACAGACTGACTTTCTCCGTTGTGTATTTTTCGGCAACCCTCTGCTTGGTCGCTTCGCCGTTTTTTTTTGAAAAATAGTAGCATTACAATGTATTCAAGGGGAATAAAGTGCGAACTATTTCAACTTGTCATTGTCCGCCGTAACGCGGCAGAGCCTGTTCATACGCATTTCGCCTCGAGCACATTGCCACCCCACAACCCTGATTGTCAGGTCACCTCTGCCGTTCAGGAGCGATTGAAATGAGGACAAACCACCATCGGATTAGATGTTGCCTCGTAGCCAGGATGTGTCAAATATACGCGCTCACTTAATCTTCCCATTGTGGAGTACAACTTGCACCAGACGTTCAATTACTTCCTCTCTCTCCGAATCAAGGTTATACTACTGTTCAGCAAACTGATAACGATCGTGGTGGTGGTGGTGGTGGTGTTGGTGTTGGTGGTGTTGGTGGTGGTGTTGGTGGTGGTGGTGGTGGTGGTGGTGCTTTTGGTGGTGGTTGTGGCGGTATTAGGTACTGAATGGACAAGTAAGTTCGTGCGGATAACCTGTTCAACTCAACGACGAAAGCGAAGGGAGAGGAACCGGCGACAATTTATGCTTTTTATTGATAAGCCTAAGCAGACAGCAATGCATGGACTGATAATAGCAACAAATACTAAGTAGAACCTTTCGAAGCAATACTAACAGTGCAGAACAATTTCGTTTTCAGTAATTTGTTAGCATGTCAACTCACCACTGTATATATTTGAAACTTTCCTGTATGACTACCACCTTGTTTTACGTCATGGCGACTGACGCGATTAAAATAGATCCTAACGTCCCCACTATGAGGATAATTGGATCGATGAAAGCAAGGCGCCACGTGTGAAGTGGACGCGATTAGAAAAATTTTAGAAAAGAATGAACAAAACAAGTGTGAAAATGTGATAAAAAGACAGTAAATGCGGAAATCGGGAGAATATAAGAGTTGCCACATAGGGCAGTCACTCATATGGCCATGGTAACGGCAAAGTTTCCACCCTGTTCTAACTGATATCACACAATATATAATGATCTGTTCGTGCCATACTCGGTGATTCACTGCTATTGATCCGTTTTTGTATTCGAATAAACCGCGTCAGATGTCAGTGGGCAATCATAACTAATAGGTCAATTCACACACTTGTTGAATCGTCCGTGTATCTGGTG